TGTAGTTCTATCCCTGCCAGCAAGCTCCCTTTGGAGTAGTAATTTTACAGCTGTAGACAGTTCCAAGAGACAGGAAGCCATGTTGTACAATGCACTGAGTGCTGCCAGGGTCAGTAAGCACCCCCTCAAGCATCAGAAACCAAAGACTTCTGGGGTCCAAGGCTAGAAAACAATCTTGTCTGGCCATCTTTTCACCATCTTCATTCGGAGGAGTAAGGGACTTACTCGTTTATTTTACATATTGAATACTATACAGGTACTTGCTAATTTGTTCTGTTTATTGAGTTCTACAAGGTGAATATACAGATGTCAGGTCCTTGAGACAGGGCTACTTGAAGTGTGATTCATGAGCTGGTGTCTGTAGTTGGTTTATTATTATTATTATTATTATTATTATTATTATTATTTACTTTTTACTCTTTGTTCTTTGCTCTTTTGGGGGGTCCACCACCCAGCTCTCAAATAAATGCCCAGCCTTAGCTTGGCTTATTTCTAGCCAGCTTTTCTTAAATTATCTACCTTTTGCTTCTGGGCTTTTGTCTTTCTCTATTTGTGTATACCTTTCTTTATTTCTTTCTCTGTGGCTTGAGGTGTAGTTGGGTGGCTGGTCCCTGTTGTCCTCCTCTTTCTTTTCTCGCTTCCTGATCTTTTTTCTCCCAGATTTCTCCTCCTATTTATTCTCTCTGCCTGCCAGCCCCACCTATCCTTTCTTCTGCCTCGCTATTGGATGTTCAGCTCTTTATTAGACCAACCAGGTGTTTCAGACAGGCAAAGTAACACAGCTTCAGAGTTAAACAAATGCAACAAAAAAGAATGCAGCACATCTTTGCATCATTAAAACAAATGTTCCGCAGCATAAACAAATGTAACGCATCTTAAAATAATATTCCACAACAGATGTTAGTCTATGATCAGAGAATATAGGAATGGAGAGTAGGTTGCTTTATGAATTAAGTATGCCAAAGCATACCATTGTGGGGATTGCAGTTTCCTTCCCTTATCCCACTCTCTCGACCTCACTCTGGCCTTCCCTCCACCCCTCCTCACCTTTCTTTCTTTCTTTCTTTCTTTCTTTCTTTCTTTCTTTCTTTCTTTCTTTCTTCCTTTCTTTCTTCCTTTCTTTCTTCCTTTCTCTCTTCCTTTCTTTCTTTCTTTCTTTCTTCCTTTCTTTCTTCCTTTCTTTCTTCCTTTCTTTCTTCCTTTCTTTCTTCCTTTCTTTCTTCCTTTCTTTCTTCCTTTCTTTCTTCCTT